GATGGGGACACACATATGTTCTTCTTTCTACTATCTCCTCGGTGTCCCCAGGGAGGGGCACTCACCAAGGCGAGGCAGTTCCATTCACTCACATTGTATCAGCTAGTCCAGCTCAACCAGGGACTGCTCCTGGCCCAGGAGGTCAGCCATCTATCTATCTTCTATCTATCTATCTATCTATCTATCTATCTATCTATCTATGTATCTATGTATCTACTAGAGGCCCAATGCATGAAGATTTGTGTAAGAATGTTCCTTCCTTCCCCTGGCTGCGGCATTGCCTTCACTCTGGCCAGAGTGGCTTTTTCCCTCTGCCCTGGAGCTGCCTTTCTGCCTTCCCATGCTTCCCAGAGGCCCAGAGCGGCTGGGGTGGTGTAGAATGTCTGCGTCATTGCCATGGTGATGATGCAAGCATCCCGCCCTGCCCACTCAGCACCTGTGTATGCAAATTAACCCACCATCTTTATTGGGTTAATTTGCATACTCCTGATTGGCTGGTGGGCATTGGGAAGGTATGGTCAGTTAGCATGTTACTCTTATATTAGTGTAGTTCTATCTATCATCTATATCATCTATCTTTATTAAATTTATTGGGTTGACATTGGTTAATAGGATCAGATAGGTTTCAAGTGTATATTTTGGTGATACAAGATCGGCATATTGCATTATGTGCCCACCACCCATAGTCAAACCATCTTCCCTCACCACATTTTATGCCTCCAGTTACTCCCACCCCCACCCCTTTCCCTGTGGGAACCACCACACTGTTATCTGTGTCTATGAGTTTCAGTTTTATATCCCACACTTGAGTGAAATCATATGGTTCTTCGCTTTTTCTGACTTCTTTCGCCTAGCATAATATTCACAAGTGGCAATATTCCATCTTTTCTTGTGGCTGAGTAGTATTTCATTGTTTGCATGTACCACATCTTCATCTGGTCCTGTATCACTGACACTTTGGCAATTTCCATGTCTTGGTTGCAATGAACATAGGGTTGCATGTATCTTTACAAATATATGTTTTTGAGAAGATACCCAGGAGAGGGATTGCTGGGTCATAGGGTAAGTGTGTCCCAGGCGGCATCCCACCAGCAGTGAATGGGGTTCCTTTCTGGGAAGGCCTTCTTCAAGGGGGGGTTTCTCCCTCAAGCCACAACCTTATTTAGTTGTTTTGGTTGCTGATGGCTGTTTCTTTTCCTCCCTTCATCTCTCGTCCTCTCTCTCTTGATCTTATCATTTAGTACTTGTGTTTCCTATGAGGACCTGATCTGTACTTTCTGACCCACAGTCAGAGAGCAGGGCCATAGAGCAGATGCGGGGACGTGGAGAGGGTGTGGGACAAGGTGGGGACTTAGTGCCTGATGGCCAGGCGTTCACATCCTGGCTCCCCTTTCTACTGTAGCATTGACTGAGACAGGTTGCCCCACCTTTGCAAGTCTCAGTTTGCCCCCTAGAAAATGGGCCCGCCCTACCTCGAGTTGTTGGGATCCTGGTGTAACACTGAGTGCAGTGCCTGGCCCGAGGGAAGTGCACACTTAGCTGCTGCATTGTTGCTATCGTGATCATTCATTCAACATGCACATTGGTCACACTGCCAAAGTAAACATGGTTCCTACGACCATGGACCTCATGCTCAGGAGGGAGAGAGATACTAAGCAAATAGACAACTAAGGAGAAAATTTCAGGTGGTAATGAAGCAACTATTCCAGCAGTGAATGCTTCCTATCCAATTCTCGAGGGTATAAAAACTAGCCCAGTTTGTAGCATTTGCCCATTTTTGTGGTGTGAATATTCCCACCGTGGCTGATTTCAAGCTACCAAAGTGATTTCTACTGGCTCTTAAAATTCCTAAAAAGTTAACAGTTGGCTCTTGCAAGGCTGAGAGCGCTGGCTCCGGCGCTGGATGTATGTTAATACTATCCTGGAAAGACCTGAAGACCCGAGACGGAAATGTGCTGGTGGGAGAGATTCCAAGCAGAGAGATGGCTGGGCAAAGGCCCGGAGGTGAGAAAGAGCTTGATTTGCTCAGGGATGAGAAGGATGGCCGGGTCGGCAGGGACCTAACGGGATGGAGGGCGGAGAAGGCAGAGGCTGGGCTGTTGGAAGCCTCACAGTCCATGGCATGGCACCACATTTCAGTTTTATTCTAAGGCCGCAGGCAGCCGTTGGAGGGTTGTAAGCTGGAGAGTACCTTAGTCTGGTTTGCACTTTTAGAAGCTCGCTGGGCTCGTCTGTAAAAGACCAGCAAGAGGCCAGTTAGAGGGTAGCGATGGTCACTCCAGGGAGAGGCAATGGTGGCTTGGACTATGTGTGCCAGCAGGGAAGGGGACAGAGGGAGCTGAACTCAGGTGGGGCCGTGGGGACGTGCCAGGTTTTGTCTGCAGGTGTTCCCTGGGTGTTTATCGGGATACACCCCACCTGCGATTTCTGCTCTTCTGTCATGGGAGCAGGAAGGAACCTTAGGGCACAGTCTGCCTACCTATTTTTTTTTTCTTCCTACGTGAGGCTGTGTTTCCCACTTCCTTCTAAATCCAGGAGGCAAGATGAGGAAATGTATTTCTCTTGGCTCCGCAGGCAAAGCAAAAGCAAAATCTCTTCTCAACACTGCCTTTCTTCCTTTGATTTTTGTCACTGATAACAGCGCCCTGTTCTTCCTCGTGCGTGGGGGGTTGGGGGGGAAGATCAGAGGATCTGCCCTGGGTTTCCGTCTTTGCCCCAGGGTGCCTCCTGGGTGTGGACCAGACACCCATGTAAATGCCATGGGCGTTGGCCCAACAGATTACAGCAAGATGGTCCCCTGCCTCTGCCACTCCCAGCCTGTGTCCTGGTATAGTTTATAGAAGGGGACGAGAGAATGCCATCTTTCTAGGCTGGCATTGTCCAGTGGAACTTCTCTCGATGACGGAAATGCTCTCTACCTGAGCTGTCCACTACTGTGGCCACTGGCTCCGTGTGGCTATGCACCAATTGACATGTGTGACGGAGAAACAAATTTTCAAATTTGTTTAAGCTTTGTATGGACAGCACAAGGCTGATTATCCGTTGGACCTTTGCTTTTTGGCAGCTGACTGGAGATCCTGCTGAAATGTTGTAGAACATTATGGAAGGGTGGGATTTCAGTGAGCGGTCACTTGTCATAGTTCCCCTCAATTGGCAGAGAGAGGCACAGAGGACGCAATGATTTGCCCAGGGTGTCTCAGCTGGGGAGTGGAGGACAGGAACCCCTCTTCATGTTCATTTTCGCAGGTTTCCAGAAATGCTTCCTTTCTATAACATTGTGAATACATTTAAATTCCTCTGACCGCCTTCTCAGTCTTGGTCTGCTCCTCCATTCTTAGAACTGATCATGGTGTGGTCCCTTTGGAGCTCATCCTTCTACATATTTTCCTATTCCATTCACGTGTATACAAATGGGTGGGTTGAAAGCACTCGGCACTTTTAAAATAAGTTTTATCACAGTATCCATGCTTTTCTACAAATTGCTTTTCTCAGATTTGCTTTTCTACAAATTGCTTTTCTCTTTCCACAGTAGGTCTTAGATCTTTCTGGATAAGAGATCGCTATCTTATATGTATTTTTAATTGCTGCAGTCTTTTATAGCCTGGTTGTGTCATATTGCTCATAAGCCTATTATATGACTAATTATTTATTGCTCCTTATTTTTATAATAAACGTGTTTGTGCATATCTCCTGCATGCACAAGATTTCCCCTAGAAATATTGAGAAATGAAATTCTTGGGTCATAGGGAATATGTATTTTTAATTTTAGTAGTTGTTACTCTAATACTCGTTAACATGGTTTTACCAGTTTACATGCTATCAGCTGCTTGACAGCACCTGTGTCTCCATGGGCTGCAAAACACCTGATATGATCAAATATTTACTTGTGGGTCAACCTAACAGGTGAAAAATAGATCTCATGGCTGTTTAATTTGCATTTTCCTATTTGTAAGTCAAATTGAACATCTTTTCTATGATATTGGCTACTTGTTTTTCTGTGAATTGCCTGTTCAAATCTCTTGCTCATTTTTTCTGCTGGATAGTTTTATTAATTCATTCAGCAAACACAGGCTAGGATGTAAACCGTATGCCCAGCATTATTTTAGATGCTAGAGAGTTTGTGGCAAGTTGCCAAAAACAGACACTCCCGCCCTCAGAGAGGTGATGGTCTAGGTGTGGGGGAAAGCTCTAAGCGAAAGGAATTGAGGAAATGAATCTTTTGTTAGATGGGACGAAGAGAAGCAGGAGATAGGGAGAGACACTGGGTGGGACTCAGTGTTAAGTAGAACGCCTGGGAATTTCCTCCTTGACTTGGTCACTTGTAGGCATTCTTTATATAGTCTGTGACCTAGTCCTTTGTCTGTCATATGTTGTACCTATTTCCTTCCAGTCTTTCATTTTCTGTTGTCTTAGATGATGGTACTTTTGCCTTGCTCATTCTTTTCATCTATTTATTACAAAATCAAACTTGTTGGTTGCAACGAGGCATTAAACAGTGAAAGTCCACTTGTATGCATGCATATAGGCATAGCCAATGGACACAAGACACTGGAGGGGTCAGGGGAGGGCATGTTCCCGGGGGCTAGGAGAGGTCGGGGGAAGGTCAATGGGGAAAAAATAGACATATGCACTACTATTTGTAATACTTTAAACAATAAAAAAGTGAAAGATCCTTCGTCCCAGACAACCATTGTCAAGAGCACAAGCGTATCTCTTATTATTTTCAATTCTCACTGCCATGCAGCACTCTGTTCCCAGCCGCCGATGGCCACGTAAGCACACTCTTTGGGCTGTTTCTTAATGTCGTTTAATGACGCAGTCCCCTCTGGCTGGACTCAGAGTCGCTTCCAGGTCTCCAGACCCCGGGACAAGACAACGATCCTGTGCCCTTTCTCTTGCCCAGGAGTTTCTCGGATCCTTCTATTGGTTGGACCCCAGCCTCCACGCCCTGCAAGTCCCTGGAGCTGCCATAACCTGATTCTGTGTTCTCTCCCCCCCAGCTCCACGGCTACATGGAGAACAAGCCCCTGGGGCTCCAGATCTTCATCGGGACGGCCGACGAGCGGATCCTCAAGCCCCACGCCTTCTACCAGGTGCACCGGATCACCGGGAAGACCGTCACCACCACCAGCTACGAGAAGATCGTCGGCAACACCAAAGTCCTGGAGATCCCGCTGGAGCCGAAAAACAACATGAGGGCGACGTAAGGGCCGGAGCTGAGGGCGGTGGGCTGTTACGGGAATGAGTGGGGCCGAGGGCAGGGGTTTGGGAGAGGGGACCCCCTGGGGCTGATGGGAGCAGCTGGGGGAGGGAGGGTGGTTCCCAGTATGTGGTGGACCCAGAGCGGTTACGGTTTTAAAGTTTCCATTTTAAAAGCTCTTTACCTAGATGTTGTTCCTAGGTGTTCCTTACGCATCTTTGGGGTATGTTGGTTGGGATGAGACTAAATTCATTTACTTTACAATTTTTATTAGACGCACAGAAAGTTGTTAAGTAATGAGAGGTCAAAACTCACCAAGTGATATGCATGTGGCTAAAATTTGGGAATCATTGCACCCCTGTATTGGAGTTGAAAAAAACTTATTAGAAATATATCTCAAACGTTCAGGACAACTTCGAGAAACCCAGAACTCCTCTGCGCTGTACTGTTCTCTCAGATTTGCCAGTTGCTAACCTTTTTCCCATTTGCTTGATCACGCTCCATTTTTGTCCTGAAGTCAGTTGCAGAAATCATGCCTTTTGACTTTTTAAATATGTCCGCGTCCATAGCCTAAGAACAAGAATGCATTCTTCCGTGGCCACAGCACATTTATCAAACCCAAGGTGCTAATGCTGACACTGCTGTTATCTCTTGGACAGTCCAGAAGCCATTTCCGCCAGTTGGGTGTCTGAGTTTTTCAGATACTTCTGAGGGTCGAAAAGTTGGCATGAAAAATCTCAGTAGAGAAGCCAGTTCCCTGGGGGAGCCTCTCTAGTTACTGTCTAAGTATTTCACTCCCTTCTCCGTATAAGTCCCTGGCTGGAATATTTATCAGCGCATTGCAGTTTCTCCCCGGGGTCTGGCGGTAGAATTATCTGGCTTCCCGGGCGAAGGTGGCTTTGTGGGGGATCTCCCCTGCTCGCTGGATGGGTGGCCGTAAACGGGGTTTCCATCCTCCGGCAGCATCGACTGTGCGGGCATCCTGAAGCTGAGGAACGCCGACATCGAGCTGCGCAAAGGCGAGACGGACATCGGCCGGAAGAACACGCGGGTGCGGCTGGTGTTCCGGGTGCACATCCCTGAGGCCGGTGGGAGGATCGTCTCCCTGCAGACGGCCTCCAACCCCATCGAGTGCTGTAAGTGGGGCTCTGGGCAGGGTCGGCGTTTGGAGTAGACTGTATGGGACGCCCCCTCCTCCCTCACAAGGCACCCTGGGCCAGGTACCCGGCAAAAATCACAGGACCCACAAGGATCAAGAGTGGGCCCCAGATGGCCATAGGGGCGGAGCCAGAGCACATTGAAGGGCTTCTCTCTGCTTCTATTTACTTGTGGAGGGTTTTGCGGCCTCACAGGAAATTAAAAAATAATATGGCTACTGAGTAGCCCACAGCTTTGTTTAGAAGATTGGAGATGTATAAATGTTCTGGTTTTTAAAACAGTGAGATGGAGTTGGAGTGAGTTCACCGTACATCGTGTCTTCTTTTTTCCCCTCTGTTTTTCTTTCACTAAGAATAACGATGATATGACAGGGCTCTTGCCTGTTGGGCTCGCTGAATACTCACAGCAGTCCTTGGTGATGGCTGGTGTCACATGCACGTTTCACAGAAGAGAGGGAGGGAGATGAGGGGTAGGGTGACACAACCCAAACGTGGCAGGGAGGTGATTGAACGGGAGCTTTGGCGTCCAGGAGCCATGCTCCCCCACCCCCCTCAGCCCATCCCGGTGTGTTCACTGAGAACCCACTTGATGTCGGTGTGGTGCCAGGGACCTGCACATGAGCAAGGTGTCTTCTCTGCCCTCCATGAGCTGACGTTCTGGTGGACGTAAAGAGGCCCGAGCACAGATGCAGGAGGCTGTCAGGATCCGGTGCGCAGCGGCCACGCTCTGCTGTGGGGAAGGCCTCTGGGCCGAACCCTGGCTCGTTTCCAACAGGCTGGGAAGGAGGCAGCTCCTTGGAGCTCACTCTTAGGCATTTTCTGCAAGTTTTGTCGTTGGTTTTGCAATTAGGCGGGACAAAGCTTATTGTTTGCTCAGTTTTGGAGGGTTTAGAAATCATTTTTAAAAGCATAAAGAAGAAACAAAGTAACTGTTTTTTCAGAAACAAAGGCCATTTATATTATTTTGTTAGCCTCTTCTCAGAATATGTTTTTGTGTGTGTTGTGATGAACATGTTCTATATTCAGTTACGTTTCAGGACTTTTTCTTTTTCTTGGGCATTTTACCATATCGAGGGGTCAAAAATCGGTTTTCTACAGAAGCCAGGGAAGTGATGGACATGAGTCAAGTGGGTGGGGTGAGCAACAGCCGGGGGTGGTGGAGAGCAGGGGCCAGGATGGCGCTTCCCATCTCAATAGACTGCTGCTACTAGACTCGGGCCCGAATGTCCATGTGTGAATGTGACTCGGTGTGGCCACATCGTCTGACTTTTTAAGATAAACCAAAGTCTCCTGATTTTTTTTTTTTTTTTTTAAAGCAACTCCAAATTCACAATACTTTATGGATCAGGTAAAACCGGCACAAAGGGCTTTGGTTAATCATAGGTGGTCTCAATCAGATACTACTGAAGAAAGGGCAGGCATGACTATTTTGTGCAGAAAGGGCTGAGGAAGACGAGCCCTGAGGACCAGAAGCCAGCCAGGAGAGAGGCTGGGCCCTCTGTGGGAGAGAAGCCAGCCCTTGGTCTTGGTTGGTCTTTGGGAGGAGAGGAAAGAGCCCCCGCCAGCCTGGGGGGTTAAGATGAGGAACGGGCCGAATGTGGTGGTGAGTCTGTGCTCGGATGATAGAAGAGAGAGACCCAATAGGAGGCCACACGGGAAGACAAGCGTTGACAAACAGCTCAGAAACGTTGGAATTCCCCTTCTTTACCCAGCAGCCCCCGCCCCTGTCCTCCGAGTGCTAGTCATGGTGGCTGCCCCACCAGAGCCTCGGTTTTGAACATCTGAAGATGGTTTGGGAAGGAAACTGAGGCTCTTCCTCTGTGAGCTGGGGGGGGGGGGGGGGGGCGGGAGAGTTGTGAGAAGATAAGGACGCCCCTTTCTGGCAAGTGACAAACAGCCCTGGATGGGGCTGTGGTTAGTAACAGGGTGGGAAGCAGGAGGCCTCAGGAAGGGCCACATAGGGTCCCTCACGTCAACGTATCTCCTGCTGATCTGAGCCATTCCCGATCATCACCCAACCACAAGCACCTCCCTCGAGGTCTTCCGGGCAAGGTCAAGTTTGCACCCTGAATGCTGGCTGTTTTTCTTTTCTTTTAAGAAAGCAGTTGGCTGATTCGACTACCTTGCTTTGAGAGATAAGGGAACAGACTTTCTTGGTAAAGCGATTCACTCGTTTCTTATTCCTTGGGAGCAAATGCAGAGTCTCCAGCTTCCCAGTCTGTGAAATACCTTCTTCTTTTGGTTTCTGCGACACCACTCTTTCTTGCAATGCCAAGTTGAGCTACCAATTAGCCACTATCCCTCTCACCCAGACTATTTCGCTATTTTTGTTTCCTTCTTTGTTCTAAAACCCTAGACCGGTCCCTGGTAGTTTTATTTTTAAATTTTATTTTTTTTTGAATATTTTTTTCATTTTTTATTGGGGTATTACATGTGTAAATATCTTACCATTGTGCCCCCCACTCCCATACATGAGTTTTATAAATACGTGTTGACTGAATTGGCGTACCGTGTGAGAACCTTCAGGAGATATTCCATAGATATGTATTGACAATTAGTTCACCACATGTATTGGCACAGTGTGTGTGTGCAAGGACTATTTATTGACAGATTGGCTTTGTGTGTGGCCCTTGGGGAGGGTTCGTGGGGAAGGAAAACACTCTGTGGGCTGGGACCTATTTGCAAGGCTAACTTATTTACCTTGGAGGTGCCTTTTGTGGAACATCAGAGGGATCAGGGTAATTCTCAGATTCCGGTAGAAAAAAGCTTGAACAAACCCCTGGCGGCCACTGCCTGGAAGGCAGACTATTTGCCAGGTGTGCCAAGTCCTTATGCTAGTACGTACCCACAGGCCAGCGTGCCGGAGGTCAAGCCTCACCTTTGCACTGACGGGCGCCTCATGTGTCTAGTCTTCTGTTTCCACATCCTCCGTGTTGCCAAGGAGATACTTTTAGTTCCTCCCTTGTTCTCAGAAGAGTATTTTGAACCTACTCCAGCCTTCTAAGCTCCGGACGCCGCCTTCACCCGCTCCCACTCCAGGCAGATAGCCGTGCCTCCCACGGCTCCCAGCACATGGGAGAGGCCAGAGGGGCACACCCTCATCTTCCCGGCAGCACGCCTGCCCACAGATCGCAGCAGCCCTGGGCCTGTCCTCCTCCGGCCGCCTTGAGACCAGACACTCCTCCTCCCCACACGGGCTCCTCAGTGTCCTCAGCACCAGCTCCAAGTTCCCCGTGGGGGTTGAGCCCTTGCTTCCCTCTTGCCCGAGTGTCCCCAGGCTGGCTGACTTAGCCAATTGCCACCAACTGGGAGGCTGACAACAACACAGTTTTATTCCGTCCCAGATCTGGAGGCGGGAGGCCCAAGATCAAGGTGTGGGCAGGGCGGTTCCTCCTGGCGGCTCCGAGGGAGAATTTGCACCAGGCCTCGCATCTGGCTCCCAGAGGCCTTACTCCCGGCTCCTGGCTCCTGGCGGTGGCCGGCAGCCACATCACTTGATGATCACCTCCGTTCTCAGGGCCCTCTTCTCAGTGTCCTTTTCTGTCTCTCCCGAGGACACTCACACTGGACTTAGGGCCCACCTTCATCCTGATGGCTTCCTGTCCATCCTCTCCTGATTCACACCTCCCCAGGCCCTCTTCACAGGAGGCCACCGCCTGAGGGTCTGGGTGGATGGGAAGTTTCGGTGGGGGCTCTTCACCCAAGACACCTCCTCGGCAACATTTCTTGACTTCACTTCCCTCTCCGGTCCGAACTGGCTTTCTCCACCGGCATCCTTCTGTGACGTGCAGGCTTTCAGCGACTCTGTCACCTCCTTCCAGAACACTGGCTCTCAAACTTGGAAGCAGCTGGAGAGTTTTGAAAACAAACAAACAAACCCGATGCCCAAATTCGCTGAGTCGGTTGGTCTGCACGGAGACTTTCAGAGGGACCCCAGGGATTTTGGGGTGTGGCAAAGTTTAAGACCCACTGACCTTGTTGCCCCCACCCCCTCTGCCCACACCTCCTTCCATCAATTGATAACTCCTTCTTATTTGAGGTCCCATCTGGATGGACGGCCCCTTGAGGAGGAAGCTTGCTGCTTGCTCTGGTCTCACAGGGTCAGGCCCAGCAGGTGTTAGCCAGGGCCTGGCACATAGCAGCTGTCTCTAGAATGTTGGTTAAAAAAAAACACATGAAAGCATGAAATCAAGCATCTCCGGGCTGCCTGGCAGGAGAGAAAGGCAGTGATGAGCTGTAACAGAGATGACCAGGTCCTTCTGTGAGAACCCCCCCGAGGGTCCTCTGCGCAGAGGTCTCTGTGTGCATCGCGTCTCAGAAAACACCCAAAGCGGTTTCCCACCGAGCCCAGCCCAGCACGTGAATCCACTCTCCGCAGTTTGCAGGACTTGGGGGCAGGTCTGACTAGAAAATGGATTTCTTTTTTAATATATATATTTTATTGATTTTTGTACAGAGAGGAAAGGAGAGAGCTAGAGAGCTAGAAACATCGATGAGAGAGAGTCATTGATCAGCTGCCTCTTGCACACCCACTACTGGGGATGTGCCCGGAACCAAGGTACATGCCCTTGACCGGAATCGAACCCGGGTCCCTTCAGTCCCCAAGCCGACGCTCTGTCCATTGAGCCAAACCGGTTTCGGCTAGAAAATGGATTTCTCCTTGGTCTTTTCAAGCTATCCACATAAGTCCATGTCACTGTGGGATAATTAAGGGACAATAAATTGCACAGGTTGTAAGGCTTCAGTTGGGTGGTTTTGGACAAATGCATGTCCCTGTGTAAACACCACTCAAAGCAAGACAGCATGTCCCCTACCCTCGAATATTCCCTGGTACCCGCGGTCATGGCCACCCCTAGCCCCCCCTCCTCCACTCCCAGGCCCCTGTGGCTCTGATTTCCATCAGCATAGATCGGCTCTCCCTAATCTAGAACTTCACATAATGGGATTATGCGGTGTGCACCTTCTGTGTGTGGCCGTTT